TAGTATTAGTATTAGTATTAGTATTAGTATTAGTATTAGTATTAGTATTAGTATTAGTATTAGTATTAGTATTAGTATTAGTAGTCGACTATTAGTTGTTCAAAAAAAAGTTTAGTCAACTATTTTAGTCGATTCCAACCTCTATTTGTTGCTCAACTTTAGTAAACTGAATTGTTGGGAAAGGGTGAGATCAAATCAAAGAGCAAAACTTTGTAATGAGTTGTTTTTTTTTTTTTTTTGACAAATTGGTTTGAAATTAATTTCCGTTTCCAAAAATGATAAATGGTTGTGGTTATTTTACATTGCTGTATAAATTATCATTTCTATCTATTTGACAACTGAAAAATTATTAAAATGTCAGAGTTTAGTGAAGCAGACATTGACTGATAGGAAATCATGTTTCGCTTTAGATGTTTTTTTGTATGGTGTCTATTGTTAAGTTTCATCTTTCTTTGATGTTTAGATCATTCAAAATGACCAAACTTATGGCCTCGCCTTGAAGCCTTTACCTCAAATCCCAGATCATGTTAGTGTTATATATTTTCAGATTATGAGACTGGGATTCAAAACCATTTTTACATTTTATTTTGTTATTATTATTATTATTATTGGTCAATTCAATGTAAATTTTTTTTTTGGATAAGAAAAATTTTATTTTTATTTCCTTTTGGATTGTGTTATTCTATTGTTACTTCTTCCTGGGCTTGGTAATCCATGAACTTCAGCATAATTCTATAGAAAATTCTTTACTACTTCAGCAACATTTTTGTCAATCACCATTTTAGTTTTCCATTGAGGCATCCTTTGTTTTTCATATTATTTTAAGGTTTTGTTGGATTTGGGTGAGCTGTTGGCTGATTTGCTTTAATAAGGCAATTATTTGTTGTTGGTTTTGGCTTTGGGTTTGGGAAAATTGGTCAAGCTTTTGGCTTAAAGGGGTGAGATCGGGGAAAAAAGACATAGTTTAATATTTGGTTTCTTCATAAGAATTTTGGGCTAGTTCCAGCCTTTTAATATTACTATGAACTCTTGCTAGAAGACCATTGTTTATCAGATGATTTCTGATATTTTCAAAGTAAGTTTTACCAATTCCTAGTTTTTTGACAAAGGAGTGTATTGTGATCCCAGTGATAGAAAGTTCTTTTATTAGATCTATTTTTCTTTTTAAGGCATCTGCTGGTGCTTATTGATCCACCATCCATTGCTTTAATCTGAGCCATTAAAAATATATCTTGTTCTGGTTTAGAAAGAGCTTGAAAAGATTCTCTTAATTCAGCAAATTGTTCCTTAGGAATTCTTGACGAACAGCTACAACCACAACCACAACCTTTTTCTAAAAAATCAATTGCTTTTTGATATTCATTAGAACCATTATATTTATTATTACTTTTCATATACACCTATCCCTATATATATAATTTTATAATTTCATGTTCACTTTGTAGGTTTTCATTTATTTTAAAATTGAAATCGGTCTTGTGGTGACAAGCAAAGCAGAAAGAATTAAATTTGAGTGGGTCTGCAAATAAATATCAGAAATATATATTCAATAATTGATATAAAAGAGAAAATAAAAATCCTCAATTGGTTCCATGAAAAATAATTACATTAGATTTAAATTATTTATTATTACTAAAAATGGATAAGATAAACTATCTTGAGACCTGAGATTTATTGATCAACTAAAACAGATAAACAAATAAATAAAAGATAATTATTGTTATTTCTAAAAAAACAATTGAAGAAAATTGTTGATTATACTAAAACATTAAAACATATTTTTTTATTTTAGAATTAATGCACAATGTAGTCTTCTGAGATTTTTGCTGAATGTGATCTAATAAAATCTAATTGAAATGTGCTAAAAAAAATAAACAAATGTTTGAATTTTTTTTTTAATCAAAAAAGAAATTTTAATATATATAATAAATATGATAGATTTTGGACTGAGTTTGATGTATCAAAAAAAATAATTATTGTAAATAAAAAAAAGATTTAATAACATTAATTCAACTGAAATTAATGCCATTACAAAGGTGAAATAAAATAATAATTTTTTAAATATAATTAATCATACATCTTTAACAAAACAAACATGACTTAGCTATTTAATCATTTCCTTGTATGTGAATGCCTCCATCCATCAAATATTCATGATGGTCATGATTATTATTCAATACATTTGATATCATCATTGACATAACAAACAATTGCATCACCCAGGTAATGATAATACCAAGGCCATGCAAAAATGAAACTCTTAACAATGCATGTCTACCCATAGGGATGGAGCGGTTCCACTAAGGAGCCACTCCTGAGCGGCTCTGGAACCGAACCGATATAGAGCCGAGGAGCGGCTCTGGAGCCGCTCTGTTGGATGATCTTTCTTTTTAAGGAAAGATCTTTGAATATATCACGTGAAATTTTTTCTTGACAATTTTTTAATTTTTTATTAAATAAATATATAATAATAAAATAATTAAACAAACAAATAAACAAATGAATAGACAATGAATAAATAAAAGAAACTAAAGTATAAAGAATTAAAGAAGAGAAAAATAATGATAAGTATATCTTTAATACATATACAAAAAAAAAGTAAAAAAATTTATGCATTTTATTCTCCCATTTTATTTACTATCCAGCTTTTCATACACAAACAGGCTCTTGCAGTTTCTGGCAACAAGCGATTTCATGTTTTGCTAATTGTATTTCCAGCAACAGAGAAAGCCTGCTCTGATGGAACACTTGTTGCTTGAATGGCAAGATAATCTCTTGCCATATTACTTACATTTGGATACTCTTTGGCATGTGCCTGCCATCATAAGAGAGGATCTGCATCTTCATCTCTGCAATCCAAGATAATGATCTAACTCTGATACTGAAGATGTTGAGGGAATTACAGATGAAGTTTGTGAAGTGGTGCCTCGACAAAGTTGTATGAAATATTGGCGACTTGTATTTGTAGATGCTGATGTTCTTCTCATAGGAGATGATATATTAGAAAAATTCTCCTGGTAAGTTTCAAAAATTGTTTTAATATGTGCACGAGCATTTTGAGTTGCATCTGTTGAAAAGGCAGAAAGCTTAATTCGGGGGTCTAAGGTTGCTGAGGCAATTGAAGAGCGATCCATAATTTCCCAATATTCTTCAATTTTCTGGGATATTGAGGCAGCCATTTCAGATTGTGTGAACCCCCTTTCTCCAATTTTTTCATCTAGATACTTTTGGATGTATTTAAAAACAAATCGAGTATCACCCATGGTTGGATAAGATGATGCCGAAAGATGTTTTGTGGCTTCTTCTAGAGGTTCAAGAAGCAGGAGAGTATCCTATAGAACATGATAAATTATTAATTATTAATTATTAATTATTAATTTGTCAATTGTAAATTATTAATTATTGATTATGTAGCATTTTTTTTTTTTTAGTAAAAGATTATCTACCTTAATTGCAGTTAAATCATTATCATTAGTGTTAAGAACACTGATATCTTCATTATCAGCAGCAAGTAAGGTCAGTGCTGGTTGAAGTTCTTTCCAACATCGTAACATGTAATATGTTGAGTTCCAGCGGGTTTCTACATCCAAAATGGGTTTATGATAGGTTATCCCCTTTATATTGCAGAAAGTGCGAAGTTCATCACAAAGTAAAGTTGAATTTTTAATTTTGATCATTAATTCACGTATTTTATAAACTGAGTTACTAATTAGTTGTAACCCTTGTTTCACACCTAAGTTCAACACATGTGCTGCACAATGATAATGTGAAAAATTCATTAATGAGAGTTCAGTATTAAGAGCATTTGCAATTTCTCTTCCACACACAACCATTGAAGATCCATTGTCAGTAGTTAATGCAATGATTTTATTAGAGATGTTGAATTCATCTAAAATGTGTACAATTTCTTGTGCAATGTTTTTTCCAGTATGTCTATTAGTAAAAGGAATGATGTCAAGGAGAAAGCTACAGAGATGCCAGTTTGAATTTATATAATGTATAGTAATTCCTAGATAAGCTTCTTGGTTCATAGAAGTCCACATGTCAGCTGTCAATGAACACCGCCCCTCAATTTGATCAAGATCATTAATGATTTTGGTCCTTCTGGTATTGAATGCATTGATTATAAGGTCTTTTATTTGATGCCTTTCAGGAACAATATAACGAGGACAGAAGTAATTGATGAATTTTCTGAAATAAGTGTTGTCAACAACAGTAAATGGCTGGAGGTCAAAAATTATCCATTGAGCAAGATATTTAGTATGTTCATTTTGTTCCTGCTGATTAAAAGGATCCATTCTGGTCATAGTACTCTGTTTCTTGGGAGGTGCATATAATTGATGTTGCCTGAGGTGTTTACGAAGGGTTGTCACACTTGTTGTTAATTCATACTTTGTTGAACATGTTTTACAAACATTATGTTCAGGTGCAAAGGATGGCCGTTTATAAAAATAATTCCACACAGTGCTTTCCTTTGATGAGGTAGAAGCATCTGATGTTTCCGACTGCACATCAGTAAAGACATGAATAATTGATTCATCAGGGTTGATGTAAAAATTCTCTCGGTGGAAGTTGCCTATTTCTTGATCATCAAAGATTTCTTGTATTTGTTCATCCATTTTTTTTTAAAAAGGTATAAATTTATGTTTATTGATTTTATTATATTAATATTAATTATAAATATTAAAACAAAGGTGAGAAAACTTCTGAGTTGGTTTGGATACCAGCCTTTTTATAATAGTTGGCAATTACTTTATCTTTGTGGCACATTACTAAATTCAATTACTTTATTTTCGCAAGACATTCATTGCTAAATTCAATTACTTAATTTTCGCGAAACATTGCTAAATTCAATTATTTTATTTTTACGACATATCGCTAAATTCAATTACTTTATCTTTGTGACACATTGCTAAATTCGATTACTTTATTTTCGCGACACATTCGTTGCTAAATTTGATTACTTTATCTCCGCGACACATTGCTAAATTCAATTATTTTATTTTCGCGAAACATTGCTAAATTCAATTAAAATTTTTTCATAACACATTGCTAAATTCAATTACTTTATCTTCACGACACATTGCTAAATTCAATTACTTTATTTTCGCAACACATTCATTGCTAAATTTGATTACTTTATCTCTGCGACACATTGCTAAATTCAATTAAAATTTTTTCGCGATGCATTGCTAAATTCGATTACTTACTTTATCTTCACGGCACATTGCTAAATTCAATTATTTTATTTTCGCAACACATCTAAATTCAATTAAAATTTTTTCGTAACACATTACTATTACTATTGCTATATATTTATTTGGCGACAAATTACTAAATTTATTGTATTTATGTGATACTATTTCCTTTAAAAGTAGTGGACTCGCTATTAAATGACAAATGATTTTTATTCAAACATCTCAAATTTCCAAAAACAATAAATAATAGTGATATGATATCTTATTGTTTTTGGAAAATTTATATTAATATGCCAAGTTTAATTGTCACACTAAAAACATGTGTTATTCGTCACTTACTTATATCAAAATGTTTATTCGTCGCCAAAGTTTTGTATTTTTTTTTCTGTGAAACATTTTGATTTTTGTGTAATGGAGAGCGGCTCTAAGAACCGCTCCACCTATTAGAGCGGCGCTCCATAAGAGCCGAATGGAGCGGAGCGGAACCGCCCCATCCCTATCTACCCAGATCTCTGGGGTTCACAAAATAAATTATTCTTCCTGATTACAATTATGGTTCCTTATGAATAATAAATCTGATGTTGATTGCAAGTGTCAGATTTAATTAAAAAATTTCCTGTCACAAACATGCAAGATGGCATAATTAAGCGCAATTCAGCACCATGGAATTTTTTTCCCACAGGTGAAACAGTCTTAAACATGTTGGAAGGCTTTGGACAAAACATCCCCTTATCATCCCCTCAGACCAGGCTTGACTGTTACCATATGGGCATTGATCACTGATAGCTGGTGCTTGTATGATGATTGCTGCGTGTTATTTTCACACTAGCATAAAAGTTGGCACCTGCAACTGGTTGAAAATTCTGCAACTCAGAAGGTTGCAATCTGGATTGCTGTTTTGAATTCAGAGTTTTGAGTCCTGGGTTGCTGTAACTTTTATGAAAAGTAAAGTATTAATATTTAACAATTAATTATTTAAATGTTTATTTTGTTGAAAAAAATATACATTGAGTGTACATTTTCTGTGCTTAACATCCATGTGGCCCTAAGTCTGGACAAAAGATCCCTTTCTATGAGTTTGGCTGGTATATCCCAAAGACGTCCTCAGGCATGCCTACTTGCCAACAACCCTACCCCCATTTACTAAATTAACAAATTCAGTTGGTCAGATAAAAATTAAAGAAAAGCAGAGTATTTATGAAAATGCTTAATTTATAATGTAACATACCAAACAAAATCTGAGCCATTTTATGACTTTTTTCTTTTTCTTGTTGGCCACATTGCTGACAAAGATGTATATGAACATGCAATAATTTTAACCTACAGGACAGAGACTGATTGGGCAAAAACCCAATCCAGTCCCCTATCCAAAATCATTAAATTGGTTAAACAGAGAATTTAGGAAAGTGATTATACAAAACAAATGCTATTTTACAACTTCCCTCTTAACATCAGAGCAAAATGCAATTTCAATGGCCACCAACCCTGCTCTGAATTGTGACCTCCTGTGCTTGAAACGAGCTGCAGATTCTCTTAATATTCATCAGCAGAGTTATGACTTGGTCACAGAGCCATCCTTGCCCTAGAAGTAGGATCATTGCAGGCAAATTTTCGGCTAGCATGCCAGCAGCCATCTCTGGTCTGGGAAGATTAGTGAAAGTGTCATTGACAATTGATGCAGTCTCGGTAAAATCCAGAGCCATGTATTACCCCTGGAATGTGGTAGCATCATTGTATCATCGATCCATCAGGTCAGATTAGCCTTGTGTACACGAGGAAGGTGAGAGAATGACTGTAAAGTGTTCGAGGTAGCGTGCATGCTTCAATGTCTCTAAAATTTCTGATAATCAAACGTTGCATACTTGAAATATTTCTTTTTCAACAATGTGCTGCCTTGACATCCTGTAATTATAATAATATAATAATATTATGGATTACAAAAAGCAAAATACACAATCTTGATAAGAATCTGTATTACACCAGCAAGATCTGCTCCACGTTTTGATTTCCAATAATATATATTTATAAACTAAAATAAAAATATCAATCAATACAAATAAAAAATAGTACCTCTGGTTAGTTATTAACACTTCTTCTTTAGGAGACCCAAACCAAACCAAACCAAACCAAACAACACTCACGTTTTGTCACCTTGGACTCTGTCAAAAAATAAATTGATTTTCCAAAAAGAGAGAAAAAAAAATCAATTCATGTCTGTCCTACCAAAAAACAACCAATAGGATAAATAATTAGTGTGTACATGTCAATCATATAACAAACTTTCATTTTCCAAAGAATTTTAAAAGATGACACAAAAAAGAAAGAATAATCAAAGAACCAAAGAAAAAGAAGTAGCAGATACACTGGGTAAGTGTTTTAAGGATGGTGGTTTAAAAAGAATGGTTGCAGTGGTTTCAGTGGTGGTGGTTGTATGCAACTGCTGCCATTGTTGCCATCACTCTGGTTTTTATTAAAAAGAATTTTTTGTGTCAATTGCTTATGTATTTGAAGACTAAAACTTTGAGTTTCTTGTATTTGTTTAGTAAACCATTGTCAGTAATTAATGATGATGAAGTCAACAATAAAGAAAACATTGACGATGAATAGTGATGGGCATAAAAATTATTTTGAAAAATGACCAAGTTATTAAGTGTTAAAAACACAAACATGCAGATCTCTTACTGGTAACTGTTTAATTTGATAAACAATTTAATAATTAATTTAGTACTGTGCATAAAATTCAGTGTGCAGAGTGTGCATGCTAACCAAATTTGATAAATTTTTTCCAAATCTGCTGAATTTGGTTAGCACAGCACATTCCACATGCTGAATTCTATACACTGGGATTGATTGACAAAATGGATCTTTTGGATTAATAACTCTCACTCAGAGTGCAACTAAGGTTTCTGGACCAAACTGTTTTCTCAAAGCCCAAACTAGTTTGGGAAATTTGGGCTTCTCAACATTCTTTATAAGCATGAACATTAAAAAACTATACGAATCAACTTGTTTTAACTTAAACAACTTTAAAATAATTTTGCCCAATTTCGGCTAGTAACAAAAAGTAGTTTGGGCTTATAAAAAAATAATCTTTGCCCAAAGTATTTGGGCAATTTCGGCTACTAATAGAAGCAGTTTCGGCCAGAAACCTTAAGTGCAACAGTTAATAAGTGGTTATTAACTATTAATAACTTGGAGTTATTAAGTGTAGGGTTAAAAATTCCCATCACTAACGATGAAGAAGTATTTATTTTAACAAATTAATATCTGACGTTTGATGGTACTCTCTTCTTTTAGATAGTAATAGAAATTGTGAATCACTGGACTATTTATCTGATATTTTAATACTTTAGAATGATCATAAGAGGAAAAAATGTCAAGAAGAGGGAGAAGAGAGAGAAAAAAATGTGGAAGAAGAAAAGGTTATTTATAATGATGAGATAAGCAATTATTTAATAAGAAATTCTAAACCAGTGTGTTCTTAACACTATTGGCCCTTTCTACTAGGAATTAAAAGATATTTTAGGAAACATTGTCAAATACTCAAAAACAACCAAAGAAATTTTTTTGTTCCACAAAAAAAAAATCCCGAGGATGATTTAATTGATTTAAGGTTATCTTCTCCCTTTTTTAAGAATCTTCCAAAATCTATCACATCAAATTATCTCACAGAAATGGACAAGATGACGGAACAGTTGATTCCTAAAAAGGTGCACGAATTTCTCATACAGTTTTTTTCACAGAAAATTCCTGATGATTGCAGTTGTACGAATTTTACATCATACCTTACCGCAATTGTATGTAGTAATTATCATTATATTGATTTATTTTCGAATTCTGTTCTAACTATTTTTTTCACTGAATAGCATTAAAGCTTTCTCCCTTGGTTCTCAAAATCCTCTTCAAACATTTCAATAATTGAGCAAGTGCACCTTAATGCATTTGTGCATCCATGTCTGGATAGCACATTATGGAATTTGGTGAAAGTACATTATGAATATGGGGAAATCCCATCTAAGAATCACTATAATAAGAACCGTGCTGATGGCATTGATTTTATGACTGATGCTGACAAATTTCAGCTTGTATATGTTGAAGGGTCAAGGCCAGTAGTGAAACAAGAAAAGGAAATTATAGATGTTAAAAAAATTATAAATAATTTGAAAAGCATATTTTCAAAAATTATAAAAGAAATAGTTAAAGACAGAAGGTGTTTATCAAAAAAATTATTTGTATTCGGTGGTCAGAGCTTTTGTTTACGGATTTATTTGTATTATCTTGATTATTGTGGTATGTTGCATATACACCCTTTTTTCATTTACTATGAAAAAGTAATGATTTCATTGCTAATAATATCATTTTAGGAAATTATCAGTTAAATTAAACACTAGTGCTGTAAATTATGATGATGGTAGTAATTATATTTACTGCATATAAAAAGTGGCTGCAATTACCTTTGTGACCACTTTTGCAACCATACTTTTTCCTTTTTTGGATTACAGCACTAGTCTTTAGGTTAAATGAAGTTGATAGTGCTAGTTTACCACGGGAATTTTCAGAAATGCAAGATTTTGTATACTTTTATGAAAGTATATTAAAATGGGCAGTATGTATAAATGTAAAATATTCATGTTATAACATTAAACTTTCACTAATATATATCATCTACAAATTTAGCTGTTGGTCAGGAAGTTAAAACATCCTTTGATGAAGCAAAAACTAAACCAAGACTCTCACATTTTTCATATGTAAATGCTCTTCTTCGACTAGATGAGTGATCGTAAAATTGATTGGATGTGTAATTTCATTATATTATACTTTCATTTAAATATGTAGATATTTTGAAAATATAAATTGCGAATGAATTATGTATGATTCAACTCAATGTAATTTATGGTTGATTGAAAAAAGATGTATACATTTATGTGATCAAACTTCCAATTAGCAAAACAATAAATATGCTTGGAAGTTTTTGGAGATTTCAACAAGATAATGATCCCAAGCATACAAGCCGGGTTGCTAAAGAATTTCTTAATGAAAATGTTCCTATGATCATCGATTGGCCATCCAATAGCCCTGACCTTAATCCAATCAAAAATTTGTGGGCTATTGTCAAAAGGAATGTAGAAAAATGTATGCCAAAAAATTTGGATGACTTGAAACAATTTTTAGTTGAAGAATGGGAATTAATTCCAGACAGTTTATTAATCAATCTTGTTAATTCAATGAAAAATAGATGTGAACTTATAATTGAAAATAATGGGGAAAGAATTTCTTATTAATTTTATATAAATAAAATCATATCATTTCCAACTTTTAAATAAAAAAAACAAAACTAAAATTAATACACTCATGATCGAGTAATAAACCTTTTTTTTTGGCCAATTATTTTTGTAACACACTGTATATTACTTTTCATAATCAATAATAATAATAATATAAATATTATAATCACAAGATGTCAAGGCAGCACACTGTTACAGAAGAAACATTTTGAATATGCGATGTTTGATTATTGGAAATTGACAATTGTTGAAGCACACACGCTACCTTGAACACTTTACAGTCATTCTCACATGTTCCTCATGTACATAAGGCTAATCTGACTTGATTGCCTGAAGATACAATGATGCAGTTGAATTCTGGGGGAAGCATGGCCCTGGAGTTTACCAAGACTGTATCAATTGTCAATGACGTTTTCACTAATCCTCCCAGACCAGAGATGGCTGTTGGAATGCTAGTGTGAGATAGTAAATCTTGTACCTATCAATTACCCGGCTATTATTGACCAATTAGAACGAACTTACTACGGAAGTCATGTGATGCGCTAAATATATTATTGTAACGGCTATGCCGCACATTGCGCAGTGTCATATGAAAGACTATTCCTATTCATATTTCTATATTTATATTTATTAACCTTCTCATCTGATGTAAATATTTATTTAGAATTAGTAATTAGTTGATAAGCATATTATTGGAGAATAGAGTAGCACATATCACATTATTTGTATTGCCCCAAGAGGTATAAATACACTTGGCTTTAGACCAAGTTAAAAGAATAATTAATTAAAAAAATCAATTGTTAATATTGTTAATAACAACCCTGATAACAACAACATAATAATAACTCTTAATAAATATATAACATTACATAAAATAGTCTTTGACTGTAAGTAACTAATAAACCCAGTGTGGTTGACACCCCCCAGCCCTTCTAATGGTTAATGGTCTGGCCAACCTTTAATTATTAGTTGGGAACCCTTTTAATTATTCAGATACATCTCAAGGGGACGCCTTTGGGATATAATTACATATATAGAACCTAGGGACCCTTTTATCCAGAAAGATAAAAGTTATATTTTTATTAATTTTGACCGTAAGTCAGCGAGTAGGCTGTGTGTCATACATATATATAAATAAAGGAAACTAGACCGTAAGTCAGCGAGGAGGCTGTGTGTCAAACAATAGAATCAACTGTAAGTCAGCAAGTAGGCTGTGTGTTGAGCTATAAATAACCTATTAATTAGGAAACTCAGATTGCACGCTTGCACTAGCCAAAAAGTTGCCTGCAACGATCCTACCTTAGGGTAAGGATGGCTCTGTGACCAAGTTGCAACTCTGCTGATGAATTGTAGTGCCATGTAAATATCCAGACCCATCAAAGCAACAAGAATCTGCAACTTGTACCAAGCTCAGGAGGTCACAATTCAGAGCAGGGTGGGTGGCCCTGAAATTGCATTTGGGCTCTGATGCTAAGAGGAAAGTTGTAAAATAGTGTTTGTTTTGTATAATCATTTTTGTAAATGCTCTGTTTAACCAATTTATATTTTGGGATGGTTTTTGCTCAATAAATTCTCTGTCCTGTAGGTTAAAATTATCACATGATTATGTGGGTTGTACAAAAAGTTTTGAGAAAATACATGTAACTTGATGATCTTTTCTTTAATAAAAGTAAAAATGGGAATAAAAAACCCTTAAGCCACAATCTTTTAAATAAAAAAAAATCATTCAAATTGAGTCATTTGTTGTTAAGTTATAAAATTTTAAAGTTTGCCAGTAGAAACAAATGGAAAATTCAAAACATGAATACCAAAGATACTGCATTTTTGTTAGCTGGAAAAATAGCAAACCAGCTAAACAAATTCAACAGGAATTACAGGTTGCTGAGGTGTCTAATGCAGTATCTTTAGCATCTATTTATCATTGAATTGAAGCATTTGAAAGTGGAAAAAACAATGTTGAAGATGATTCATGTTCTGGACGTCCTCCACCCTTGAAAACATTGCAAAAGTTGATGATTTAATTAGTGATGATTCTCATATGACAATTACAGCTATTGAAGAGAATGTAGGTATTTCTAGAGGAAGTATTCAAAGTATTTTACATAATGAATTAAAAGTTCATAAAATTTGTAAAAAATGGGTCCCACATGTTTTAACTGTTGAAAATAAAAAAAATCAGGTTGAAATTTCTAAGCAATTGTTAGGAATCCTTGATAATGGACTTAATAATATTATCACAGGTGATGAAACTTGGTTTCATTTTTATACTGTACCAAGTAAAGAATCAAATAAAACATGGGTTAAAAGTGGGGAAAATTGGCTGCAAATTGCCAGAACTGCACAAAATGCTAAAAAAAGGATGTTTTGTGTTTTTTTCTCAATAGAAGGTGTTGTGGCAAGAATTGTTGTACCAAAAGGTCAGACTGTAGATGGCACATTTTATAGAACAAATGTATTGCCTATTGTATTTTCAAAATATAAAGAATTAAAAAATAGAAAAACAGTAAGAAATGTGATGATGCATCATGACAATGCTGCTCCACACAAATCAAAAATTGTAACAGAGTATTTAGAAGAGGAAAAAATTATTTCGCTCCCCCACCCTCCATATAGCCCAGATTTAGCTCCTTGTGACTTTTTTCTATTTCCTAGAATTAAAAAAGAGCTAAAAAATCAGCATTTTGATCATATCACCAAATTCATCATCAGTTCTAATAAAAAAAAATCAAGTTTATAACTAGAACAAGAACGACGACGAGTGGCGACAACCACCATCATCCTTAAAACACTTACCCTTCTCTTTTATCACGATCATTGCCTTTGGTTCTTTTTTTTGAATATTTTTTTGATGACATGATTTTAAAAGAATAAAAAGAAATTTGTGAATTGATCAACATGCACACATTAATTATAAACAAAAAACAATTTATTTTTTGACAGAGTCCAAGGTGACAAAACATGAGTGTTGTTGTTTGGTTCTCCTAAAGAAACGTGTTAATAACTAACCAGAGGTACTTTTTTTTACTTTTATTGATATAATGTGGTGACTTTTATTTTATATAAAATATTTTAATTGGAATCAAAACGCGGAACAGATCTTGCTGGGGTATTTACAAAATTTTCACTGATAATATTTTGCTCTTCGTAATCAATAATAAATATTAATTATAATATTATAATTACAAGATGTCAAGGCAGCACATTGTTGAAAAAGAAAAAAATTCGAAATGCAATGTTTGATTATCGGAAATTGGCAAGTGTCAAGACACGCATGCTTGCTACCTTGAACACTTTACAGCCATTCTCACACATTCCTCATGTACATAAGGCTAATCTGACCACGGTGCTCTCGATGATACAATGATGCAACCGAATTGCAGAGGGGGGGGCAAGGCTCTGGAGTTTACCAAGGCTGCATCAATTGCCAATGACACTTCTACTAATCTTCCCTCACCAGAGAAGGCTGCTGGCATGCTAGCCAAAGAGTTGCTTGCAATGATCCCACCTCTAGGGTAAGGGTGGCTCTGTGTCCAAGTTGCAACTCTGCAGATGAATTATAATATTAGGTGTGCGTAAACATCCAGATCCATCAAAGCAACGAGAATCTGCAACTTGTTTCAAGCACCAGGAGGTTACAATTCAGAGCAGGGTTTGTGACCCTGAATTGCATTTGGAGTCTGATGTTAAGAAGAAAGTTGTAAAATAATGTCTGTTTTGTATAATCATTTTCATAAATTCTCTGTTTCTCTGATACTAACCAATTTATAATTTTTGCCCAATCAGTTCCCTGTCCTGTAGGTTAAAATTATCACATGATTATATACATCTTTGTCAGCAATGTGCCAACAAGAAAAAAGTCATAAAATGATTTGGATTTTGGTATGTTATAAATTAATCATTCCCAAATTCTTTGTTTCTCTTTAATTTTTATTTGTCAACTGGCCTTGTTATTTAAATGTGGGTAAGGTTGTTGGTGAATAGGCATGCCACTGACAAGACAGGAGACGCCTTTGAGACATACCAGCCAAACTCATAGAAAGGGATCTTTTGTCCAGACTTATAGTCACATAGATGTTAAGCACAGAAAATGTACATTATCAATGTATATTTTTTTCAACAAAATAAACATTTAAATAATTAATTGTTAAATATTAATACTTTTCTTTTCATAAAAAATTACAGCAACCCAGGACTCAAAACTCTGAATTCAAAACAACAACCCAGGATGCAATCTCCTGAGTTACAGAATTTTGAACATAAAGCAATCATCACACAAATGCCAGCTATCATCAGTGATCAATGCCCATATGATAACAGCCAAGTCTGGTTTGAGAGGAAGATAAGTAAAAGTTTTGTCCAAAGCCTTCCAACTTGTTCAAATCACTTTCACCTGTGGAAAAAATTACATGGTGCTGAATGGTGTTTAACTGCACGAAGTTTGCTTGTTTGTGATAGGAAATTTTAATTAAATTTGACACCTGCAATCAACATCAGATTTATTATTCATAAGGAACTACAACAATGGGAAAATGGGAACTACAATTTATAATCAGGAAAAATAATTTATTTTGTGAACCCCAGAGATCTGAGTAGACACACATTGTTAAGAGTTTTGTTTATGCATGGCCTTGGTATCATTACTACCTGGATGATGCAATTGTTTGTTATGTCAATGATGATATCAAATGTATCGCATAATAATCATGAACATCATGAATAGTTGATGGATGGAGGCATTCACATACAAGGAAATGATTAAATAGCTAAGTCATGTTTGTTTTATTAAAGACATATGATTAATTATATTTAAAATATACAATAAAAAAATTGCAAGACTGCATCATTATGTCAATCAAGCTATCAAGCTGTTATGTTTTAAAATTTTTTTGTGGTCCCATCTTTCTTTGCCTATATATAATCTATTGGTTCTCTTTTTACTGGTCAAATGATGCCAAATTGGGTAATGGGGTATTCAGAATCTGATTATTCTTTAAAAAAATAATCAAGGTATTAGCATACCGATAAGTTAATAATATTCTTAGTATTTTTATCATATAGTCTAAAAATCTATTAGTAAATTTTGAAAGTGCTGATATTTATCAGATATTCTTTTAAAATTAATTATATTTTTTGGTTAATTATTGGCTTAGTTTAATAAACCAATTGGTTAAATATTTCTAAAGCTCTTTGTGCTAAAATAATATCATAATCTTGAGTAGTAGTTAGGTTTCTATTCAAATAAGGTTTACTCGAATAAAACAAACAATTTGAGTAATAATAAATCGAATAAATCGAATAAAAACGTACAGTCAGAACTCGTTAAGACAATGCTTTGATAAACCAAATATACACGATAAACCGATGTTATTTTATTATCTACCTATCAAATTTACCTCAATAAGCCGATTTTATTAAGGTTTTTTAAATTGAAGTTTTTAACAACAACAAACAAACAAACAAATAGCTTTTATTCCGAAATAATTAATTTTGTTCCTTTATTGAATCGATCACACAAGTAGTAGTCAATTTAAACAGCATCGTTTTTTTAAAGAATTTATTCAAAACAATATTATTTAAATGTATAAAATTTAATGTTGCAAATTTTTTTGATACATCAATCTCAGTCCAAAATCAATCATGTTTATATACTTTAAAATTTATTTATTTGTTTGTTTTAGTAGATTCAAATAGATTTTATTAAATCAAAATGGTACACTACAGCAAAATTTTCCGAGAACCCAAAAGTGTATCAATTACACGAAAACACACTATTACAAAGCCACTTTTAAAGTACAGCAAATTCTTGTACATGTTTAATTAATTAATATCCAAATAAATACACATGTACTTGTTTTACAGTGTCATCATCAATCAGGATTTTCATGTAAAAAAAATTACAAAAATTACTTTCAATTCCAAAAAATGAACCACAATTTGATCTATATAGTGTCGAAGTACTAAAGAACAGCTCTATTTATGTGGTTATTAATTTTCATAACAATAAATAAATTTTTTGTAAATCTAAACACAGGAAGAAGGTGATGAATACCAAGATCCGACTTACATTGAAGCAGATTCTGATGAAGTACTATTAAAAAATAGCATTGCATGTTTTATCTATTTCACATTTTATTTTCGCATTTTATTGCTTATTAATTTTCATAACAATAAATAATTTTTTGTAAATATAAACACAGAAAGAAGAAGATGAATATCAAGATCCGACTTATATTGAAGCAGATTCTAATGAGGTACTATAAAAAAATAGTATTGCATGTTTTATCTATTTCGCATTTTATTTTCGCATTTGATTTGTTTATTAAATGTCAATATAAATTATATCAATGCTTCATAATATTATTATATTTATATATTCCTTTGTACTGTATATAGCTAAATTGTTTATAATGGCAATTGTGTAAACTCATTCATGTACCAATCTAATACACGACATATTAAAACGTTGTAATTCTAAACATTCTTCCAGTATTAGTATATTAAAAAAAATAATGAGTTGCCAAAAAACCGTGATTTTTTGGGATTTTATTACACAAAAATCCTGATTGGTGACACAGTAAAACGGGTATGCTAATAATAATAACACCAAAAAATGCGGCTTTCTTATTTTTAGTACATTTAATTAATCGACAATTGTTTACCATTTTATTATTATGAATTACCTTTTAACAATTGAATTGATTATTGTTTTATTACTAAAACTCATTTTACGAATCATCATTTGTCCTAGTTTTTTTTGTGGCGTTGAAGCATCTTCTTTATGTTTTCTACGTTTTCTCGTCAACAACAATAATATCGGTGATCTCTAAAAAAAAACTCTACACTTTCAAAAAAGTCTTGGTTGGTTTCTTTTTTACCAATGACCAATTCCCATTTTTTTTTTCAATTAATAATGGTAGATCATCTTTTGCATTTTTTTCAAAAAGACTTGGTCAGTTTCTCATCAACAATTAGGAAATTAATCATGAATTATTGGGGTGTCAAAATTAGGTGATGTAACATAATGCCGATCAATAACAAACTTTTATTTTTTTTTCTTGCCAAAAAAAGTTTTTTTTTATATATTGTAAAAAAATTGAAAAAAGTTTGCTGATAGAAAAACTTTATAACCAAATGAGATATGGCAAAAACTCTCTATAGATTTATTATAGAAGACATAAGCAATAAAATCATAAAAAATTTTGTATAATTTTATTATGAAAAAAAAAGTTATCATGGTTTAAAGTTATTCGATTTATTATTAAATTTAACCATAAAAATTTCCATCATAACTGATAGATTGATAGAAATTTTCTTTTTATAATTCATGTTTTCAAAAAATATATATACTTGGTTGTCAACCTTTACAAAAAAGTCTTGGTCGATTTTTTTTAACAATTACCAATTCCCATTTTTATTATTCATGTAACAACTCTTTATATGAATAAATAATATTATTTATTAATATAATAATAATACGATTGATGCTCCGAATGAATATACATATATAATAAGCGGTTAAGTTGTGTGATTTTATAATATCGTGACACCAAATGAATATCATTGCTATGAAAGTTGGGCACTCTAACGTTATAATTATGCGTGATTTCATGGTTTGAATGTGCTCACAAACATCAAAAGTTAAGTTGTCAAGACAATGGTCTATTTTATTAAGTAAATAGGACGGCCGTCCCCGCATTTTTCGTAACACCAATGTAGAGATATTTTGGGTTTACAATGAGTACACCAAACATAATGTTAAGCTCACGTTGTAGTAATTTATTAGATTACTCGATAAATGTACCATTTGACCACGAAATAGTCTTTTATTTAAAAATTGCATCATTGATAGTGAATACACAATAGGATACTAGGATGCTTCGCATCCAATGCTAATATTGATGCTCCGAACGAACATATATAAGTGAAATCAAAGAACATCATTGCTATTTTGGGATGGCTCTCACACACATTTGATGTTTTTAGATGGATAGAGAGTTTTGTCGAAATACAGATTAGCATTATTATTACTTGTTCTTATGGAAATTTTTATTTTATTTATTATTTTCCCGAGATAGTAATAGTGGTAGTAATAGTACATTTTATTATATCGAATACACAAACTTCCTTTAAACATTTTTAATTAATAAAGATAAATTTCATTTGAGGCAAAATTTTTTTTTACACCCTAAATTGAATGGTTTCAACTTTTATAATCCCACTGCAGAAATATGGGGGCTTGGTTAGATTAGTGATTGATTGCATTCATATGTTGATCATCTGATTTTGATTTCCTTAATATTAATGAATCTCATGAATGCAATCACTAGGTTAGATTCGAGGCTTATATTTAATATTGCACAATTAATTCCTTTTAGAGATCTTAAACGGAACGTTCCAATTTTGACAAATTTTTGATGGTGTGCAACAAAAACTTCATAATATTTACAATAAATATTTAGGTAGTAGCACACAAAGAACAAACTTTATCAATATGACCGAATTAGTTGTTTGCACAACACGCGCGAAAAGAGTTCTTAAATAATGCTTGAACACGAAGAATGCATGTTTATTTTTGTTTGCTTCGTGTACACAAAGATTTCTTGCTTCCCTTTTTTTTAGAAAAAAACTGACAGTTTGAAATGGGTTTTAATGTTGGTCAATTCTTTCGTAAAAGTGTTAGTATTTTATATAATTAATTAATTAGAGAATATTAATATAATAGATAGATGGATTAATTGAAAATTCAATGATAAACATCCAATTTTATTTATTTATTAAATTATATAGTACGATAGAGTAACAGCTTCTAAATGGACAAAATCATTTGTTCTAGTGTCAATTCTACAACTTATTGTAATTGTTGCATTGGAGACAAATGTACTTACTCGCAATTTTGGATTTGTTAAAGTATTGATATCAAAACAGGATTCTGGAATCTCCTGTGGATTAAAGCCTTCGATTATTCGAATGCAACTTATTTTACAAGAAAATGTTGTTTTCATGATATTTCAAATATTTCAACTATGGTTCTGTGTAGATGCGGTAATTAATGATATGACTATTTAACGCGACGTGGTATAATATGATAATTGATATGATAAATAATTTAATTATTATTAATAGATATGTAATGAAAATACGATACAAATAATAACAATAACGGTCATTAATTTTTTATGCTCACTTTATGGAATCGTAAGTATAAGTATGATTATGATTATGATTATGATTATGATTGTAATTATTTTTTATTTTTTTCAATAATTGAAATCATTACGACTTTTATTATTAATAGGTTCAAAAATTTGAAATTACAGTATGGTTATCAAGTTTAGAGAAGAGGTGTCCGGAAGTAAAGTTGAATCCAGAATATGCTACACATGATTTTCTATTAGTAGCATTTTTAATAATATTTGCTGTTATAATGGCTATACTCTGTTGGAGATTATATATGGAATTTGGTTGGAGTATTTATAAAAAAATAGGAGCAGATGTTAAAATACAGAGTAAGAAATATTATGATGGAGGAACATTTATTATAAGTGTGGTTTTTATTAGCATTATCGCTAATATTAATATTTTCATAATTAATGTATTCTTTTAGAAATGTACAAGACAATGTTGATTTTCGTAATGTTGATCAAACTCTCTCTATTCTTTGTGTTGATGTCTGCAATTGAGGTAATCTGGGCATTCAGCGATGATGAAGATCCTGACGACATATTGGAAATTAAATTTAACATTTCAAGAAGACTCTATTATTTCCATTTAGCTATAACAATTTTAATCTTATTATTAATGATTCTTGGATATTATTCAGTCAGTATATAATTTAATTTATATGTAATTAATTGTATTTAATATATAAAATATTAATAATATACACACATATATATTCTATAGTTACAGAAAGAGTTTAAGATAGGAATGGTTATTTATCTTACTTTATCAACTGTTGCGCTTATTGATTTTATATTAATCTTGAAAGAGTCTGTGCGAGATATAGCCAACAGTTGGTACTTTTTCATAGTATTTAGTAAGAATATAATTTTACAAATTAATGAATGAACTTTATTATAATTAATAATATGAATGAATAATTTATTAATTTTTATTTTATTTTTTGTAGTGTCTGTTGCTATAATTGTATCATTTATAACTTGGTTGTGGGGAGTTTTTGCTTTCCTTAATTTCGGTAAAGGATTATTATTGGCAAATGGTAAATCATCAATTTATTTATTGGAATTATTCAATTAATCAATCAATTTATTCATTGATTAATTTGTCCACTAATTAATTTATCCATTCGCTATAATTCTAATTACACTAGTGAATGAGGATGTTTCAAAAACGAATCAACAAGTTTTTGACGAAAGACATACTATCGAAGAGGAAGAAGAAATATCATAATTTGGTAACGATGAAATCATTTATACTGTTATTATTAGATGACGAAGAAAAATATTATATTTATACTATATTTAATTCATTAATCAATCATTATATTTATAATAATAATATTATGTATGTATGTATGTATAATATATGTATTATTAAAACATTTTGTTTTTGTTTAATATGAACATATGTAACATCAATAATTATAAATGATCATTCATACACGCAGATTTGTCATAGAGTCTTTAATATGTTGAAATTCCTTTTGATTTATTTATCATAATCATCATTGTTATCATCTTTACGTTATACTATATATGTTTCTCAAAAGTCTCTAGCATTTAATTATTTTGCCCCTTCCTCGATCATCTTACGCGTAATTATTAATATTTGGTTTTTCCAGATCATCTTCTTCTTTCCAATTGCTTGTCGGTTGTCTTCTCATATTACATACATATACATACGTACGTATTTGGAATATTGGTTTTCATTTTTTTAACTTAACCCGTAAAAAACTTTTAAAGCATTAATATATTCTTGAGGATATCTTAAGAAATGTTGAACATGTTCACTATCAGGACCAAATCTTTTACCCGTCACTTTAATCAATCCTCCCCTCTCTTCTTTTCGGTCTTTTTTCAATCTATCCATAAATTCGATAACATCACTTTCTGGTACAATTTGATCACTAGGACCATACATAAACAAATAATTCATCTTATTGCCATCTAAACTTCCACCTGGAATATTTTCTAATGCCTTATGTGCTAAATTTTGATAATGTTTTACAATCGGTAAGGCGAAAAAAGCGGAAAGAATTGGCAGTAGAAATGAAGGTGGTTTAATAATTTGAACTTGTGAAGATGATGGCTGTGAAGAAGATGATATAGGAGAAGCCGATGGTTTAAATAATGAGATCTTGTGTAAGAAACCACCAGCTATACCTAATGCAACATATTTTTCAGAAATAGGCGAAGGAGCTGAATCAATCACACAAAACTTGATTGATTTAATAAATATTTCTGCTTCGTCATTTGTAATATTTAAAGATGAAGAATTATTGTTATGGTTATTAGAAAGTTCATTTTCTATTTTAGTTGATGATTTTGATGCTAAAAAATGTTTTATTTTTTTAAAGAAAGGTGCAGAAGATGGTATTCTCTTCGATTCATCACCATCATCATAATCTTTATTGTTTGCGATTTGTCTAATTGCATCACATAGCATTGCGTAGTGATAAGTTCCATTATCGCTGAAAACATGAAATCCAACATTATCAGGTTTCCCATGTTCTTTCCAAGAAACAATTAGCTCATTTGCCAAATGTTTAATGTCTTTGGAGATTGTCCAAGGAAAAAATACATGATAAAATGGTGGAATGTGTGATAATGTATCCATCTTAAGTTCTTCAGTATATAATCTAATATAACGTTTCAAATGTTTTGGTTTACAATGCCACCAACCAATCAATATCATTAATGATGGTTTGTTTTCATTTTTATTAGAATGTGTTGAAGGTGAAGACGGTGTTGAAGATGGCGGTAAAGGATTAATTGTTCCTTGTGAAGAATGTTGTTGCTGTTGTTGATTTCCTCCTGGTGATGGTTTTGTTGTGGCGGAAGGTTGATAAACAAATGTTTTACTAATTGTTTGTGAATTATAAATAGTGGTGAAATTACGTGACTGCTTTTTTATTGAAAATGATGATGATTTTGTTAAATTTAGAAAATTGTAATTATAATGATAATAATGTTTGTGAGTAAATTTTTTTAAGTTTAATAATGTGGTGTTTGAAGTAATATATAGTAAGAAAAACTTTTGATTCGACATCTTTATAAAATTTTTAAAGAAAAAAAAAAAAAAAAAAATCCTAAATTAATATTAATATATATATACAGACAGAAAGGTCATATACGGAACCTTACAAATTAGTACAAGATTTTCAGTGGTGATCAGTGTTGGAAATTCGTCGATCTTATGATCTGCAAAAAAAAATTTGTGCACATATGAACACAAGAAATTTTTATTTAAATAAAATTCGTAAAATTACAAATTATAGAAAT